TTACAAGAGCCCCAACCGGGGCCGAGATTGAACTGCAACCCAGATATAGTCCTTGATCAGGAATCGATCCCGTGACCCTCTGGTACATGGGCCAATGCTCCAACCACTGAATCACACTGGTCAGGGAAAGATCTTTATTCTTTTTTTTTATATATATATTTTATTGATTTTCCACAGAGAGGAAGGGAGAGAGACAGAGAGTCAGAAACATCGATGAGAGAGAGACATCGACCAGCCGCCTCCTGCACATCCCCCCAAAAAAGGAACTTGCCCTCGACCGGAATCGAACCTGGGACCCCTCAGTCCACAGGCCAACGCTCTATCCACTGAGCCAAACCGGTTTTGGCTTTATTCTTTTTTTAATATAACATTTATAGGTATAAATTTCCCTATAAGCACTGCTTCAATCACATTCCATACATTTTGGTATGTAATATTTTCATTTTTATTTATCCCAAATTATTTTATATTTCTGTTGTGATTTCTTCTTTGTTCCGTGGTTTCTTGAGAGGTGTTGCTTGATTTCCACATTTTCCTAAATTTTCCAATCTTTTTGTTGTTGTTGTTAATCCTCACCCGAGGATATTTTTTCCATTGATTTTTTAAAGAGAATGGAAGGGAGGGAAGGGGGAGAAAAAGAGAATCATTGATGTGGGAGAGACACATTGAGTGGTTGTCTAACCTGGGACTAACACATTGGGAATAACCTGAAACCCTGGTACATGCCCTTGATCGGAAATCCAACCTGCAACCCTTTGATGCCCAGGCAGACACTCTAACCATTGAGCAATGCTAGCCAGGGCACTTTTTTGGGCGGTAATTTTATACCATTATGGTTAAAGAACATGATTTATATGATTTTGATCCCTTTAAATTTATTGCAACTTGTTCTGTGGCCTAGCATATTTTTCCTAGAAGATGGTCCATGTGAGCTTGAGAAGAATATAGATTTTGCTATTGTTGAGTATAGTGTTCTGTGATGTCTGTTACAGGTCTAGCGGGTTTATATTGTTGTTCAAGACTTCTACTTCATTGTTAACCTTTTGCCTAGTTCTATTTAGTATTAAGACTAGGGTTTTGAAGTCTTCAATTATTGTCTGTTCCTCCCTTCAATTCTTTCAGTTTTTGCTTCATGTATTTTGAGGTTTTTTGTTAGGTGCATATATGTTTATAATTGTTGGATTCTTTTGTTATGATAAAACTAGAGGCCCGGTGCATGAAAATTCATGCACTGGAGGGGGCGTCTTTCAGCCCGCCCTGCCCCCTCTGACAGTCCAGGAACCCTCAGGGGCAGGAGGCGACCCAGCGATCAGGGGAAGGCAGTGCCCCCATCACACCTCTGCTGCTGCCACTGCCGGCAGCACAAGCCTCGGCCGGCCCTGGTTACCAGCACCTTGGGCCTGCCCTGGGCGGCCGGCGGGCTGAGGGGACTGGGGGACCCCAGAAGCAGGCACGTGGCAAGGCTGGACCTGTCTGGGGGTGGGATGAGGGGACTGGGCACTGCCATCTTTGAGGGGAGGACAGTCAATTAGCATATTCCCTCCTTATTGGCTCTGGGTGCCGCCATCTTTGAGGGCAGGGCAGCAATTAGCATATTCCCTCCTTATTGGCTCTGGGCGCGCCACCATCTTTGAGGGTGGGACAGTCAATTAGCATATTCCCTCCTTATTGGCTGTGGGTGCCGCCATCTTTGAGGGCGGGGCAGTCAATTAGCATATTCCCTCTTTATGGTCAATTGGCGTATTTCCTCCTTATTGGCTGTGGGTGCAGCCATCTTTGTGACAATGTGAGGGTCAATTAGCATATTCCCTCTTTATTAGATAGGATGTCCCTCTTTTTCTCTAGTAACATTTTAATTTTAAAGTCTATTTTGTCTGATATAAGTATTTCCCATCCAGTTCTCTTCTGGTTGCTTTTCTATGGTATATTGTTTTCATCAAATTTGGGAGTTTTCAGCCATTATTTCTTCAAATTATCTTCTTGCATTTTTCTCCTGAGACTCCCATTATACATGTTGCTACAGTTGAAGGTGTCCTACAGTCTTTCTTTATTTTTCTTTTTTCTTTCTGTAGCTCAGACTAGATAATCTCACTTGACCTATATTCAAGTTACTTATTATTCTACCTGCTCAAATCTGCTGTTGTGTTTTTCTAGTGAATTTTCATTTTAGTTATTGTGCATTTCAACTCCAGAATTTCTGGGTTTTTTTTTTATAATTTCACTCTTGAATTATATTCTCTTATTTGTGGAGACATTGTTCTCATACTTTCCTTTATTTCTTTAGATTTGATTTCTTTATTTTCTGAACATATATAAAATAACTGATTTAAAGTCTGCATTGTTGAGAGAGAGTTCATTTTCTTGGCTGCACCAGCCTGGAGTAGAGCTTCCAAAACACTGAACTTGGGGAAAATGGGAAAGGGGAGCAAATTGTGGCTTAATTCCAGGCTTGGCTCTTAGGAAATTTTCTTGAATAAATGTTTTTCCACTTGATATATGCCTTCTGATGATTTAAAAAAAATAATTGTCACTAGCTAAATCTTTGTTTTGCTGGGGAGAGGATCCTCAACCCACCATTCTAGAAGTCCTGCTTCTGATGAAGCAATAAATTATAATAGTGTATATTACATTATATAGTTTCAAATAGTGCTTCTCAACCTTGATATGTATTAGGTTCCTAGAATGCCTGTTAAAATATCAGATTTAGGACATTAAAATCTATTTCTTTTTAAGATTTGTCTACACTGAGTATGGTCAGCCTCACCTTAATATGTTTTATTTAGTTTTTTTTTCACCTAGAAAGCCATGTTGTGATTATTGATTCACCACAAAAGCACTCTGCTTTTTGAAAGGTATCCCTGAAATTTCTTTAGCTGTTGGTTATTTTGTTTTCTTTGGAGTTATATATAACCAGTGCTGTCAAGATAATGGTGGAGAAATGTTAGAGGTGTTCTATATTTTTTTAACTTTTTAAATTTGTTTTTTTGTTTGTTTGTTTAATAGATCATGTCTTGCTTTCCTGAAAGGGAAGCTAGGACAGAATATTAGATCTTAAAGAATATAACCTGGTGAAGTCAGCAGAAATATAAACAATTTGTAGTTGAAAAATTAAGTCTTTCATTATGTAAGTTTGTCATCCTTTAAAAATTTTTTGAAATACATTTCTGACTAGAAAGTGAGTGACGGTATAGTTTCCTAAAATTAAAATTAATTTAACTTTAATAATGAATTTTTTTCTTGAGTAATGAACACATTAGAAATGGGATATTTAAGTGATGATACTTTATTATTTTTTATTAGAATAAACTTTTAGAAATGAAAGTGGTGGTTGGGGGGCACTCAGCTCTCCTGACTGAAGGTTATTGAGCATTACTCCATGAGCCTGAGCTTGGACTGGCATGAATGCCGTTTTAGTCTTGCCCTTGTAGTTCTGTTTGCATAAACAATTTTGCTCCAGTGAACCGTGGAAAACAGTAGGTTTGAAAAAGCAAAACTATTTGACCTAAAAAGCTTCTTGACCTTGGACTGTGCCAGTTTGAATGACAAATTTTTTAATTGGCTGATGTCAGTCATTTTACTTGTACTATTTTAGCTTCTATTTTCTTGTGAGCCTTGACTAATAATACAAAGTATTGTAAGAGGTGACATTTTAAAAGAGCACATTTTTGTACAGGCTTTCCATAGAATTTTTCAGACAGAAAAGAGAGGAAAAGAAGAAGGTGGAGGAGATGATGAATAGAGGTGGTATTAAAGCAACAGGTGTCAGTATTGCAGGTAATCCTTCAAAAGGGGAAGCTTAGATTATGTCAGTAGTGAGAAGTGCTCCTACTTTCATAGTGGAGTTGAAAGAGTCTGTATTATTATGAGAAAATAGTACTTTCAACATTTCAAATTGTTTGAAATCAAAGAGCTCTGATCCAGTTAACATCAGTTATTTAAGTACTTTTTCCTCATATTATTATTCATCTTTTATCCATCACTTCCTGGGATTATTCCCAGTTTAAGGAAAAGCTCCAGAGAGTAATTTAGGGGACCATAGAGTAGCGAGTCTAATTTCTGTACCAAGCATGTTGGATCAGATTTCATTGATATTTGGGATTATTGGTTACTTAAACCAGCATATAATGTACTCTGAGAAGAGCAACATTATTAGTAGTAAAAATAACTCACACCTGACATGTATATTTTTATATTTGCCTTGGCAACAGATATACATTAAACAATATTAGGGGGGGGGGGTCAGTTCATTTTATTTATCAGTGTTCTTTGTGCTTTGCTATTATTAATTAATTTAATATTCCTAATAGTTTCATGCAAATGAAGAACCTGAGATTCTGAGAATAAGAGCTAGTGCTGTGGCTTGGATTTGAATCCAAGCAATGGTAGTGCAAATTCTGGTGACTCAACTTATAATAGAGATGTAATTAATTTAAAAATAGTGTGAAATGGCCCTGGCTGAGTGGCTTTGTTGGTTGGAGCGTCATCCTGTATACCTATACATCCTGGTCAGGGCATATACCTAGGTTGTGGGTTTGATCCCTGGCTGGGGTGCCTATAAGAACAACTGACCAATGTTTCTCACATTGATATTTCTCTCTGTCTCTCCCCCTTCCTCTCTCTAAAATTAATAAAAACATATCCTCGGGTGAGGATTAAAAAAACATAAAATGACTTCCTTCATCACTCAGCCTTTTAGCAAAACTTTTTCATTTGTGAGTTCTGTTTTTTTAATCCTCACCAGAGGATATTTTTTTCCATTGATTTCTAGAGAGAGTGGAAGGGAGGGAGGAGGGGGAGAGAGAGAAAGAGAAAACTCAACGTGAGATAGACACATCGATTGGTTGCCTTCCACATGCACCCCTACCACGGCTGGGGAACCTGCAACTGAGTCACACACCTTTGATCGGGAATCAAACCTGCAACCCTTCAGTCGTCGGGCCGATACTCTATTCACTGAGCCAAACTGACCAGGGCATGTGAATCCTTTTTTAATTAGTTGTCTTTCATCATCAGATAGTTTTTGTTTTGCTCTTACTCCTCTAAGAAAGGCTCCTGGATGCTGCATTCAGAGTTTGTTGGTGATTGATAAGCTTTGCCTATTTCCTTGTATTAGAAAGACATCTTGGCTGGGTATAATATTCTTGAGTATTGCTATTGGGAAGTTTGTGCCAACCTGATACTACTAATAATTGGCTTTTAAATCTCTTTTGGGGTAACTGAAATATTCTTTACTTATTCTCGAAGGTCAGTAATTTAACAATAAAGGGTTGAATGTATTTAATCTGTATCTCATTTTTTCTGGAACACTGTGCTCATTAAATCTTATTTTTAAAACGATTTTATGTTGTTTATTTTTGCATGTATATGTGTTTAAGAGGTATTCTTTTTTTAAATTAATTTTTAGAATCCTCACTTGAAGATATTTTTTCCATTGCTTTTCAGAGAGAGTGGAATGGAGAGGGGAGGGGGAAAGAAAGAGGGGAATAGGAAGAGAGAAACATTGCTTGTTTGCCTCCTGCACATGTCCCAACCAGGGCCAGGGGTCAAACCTACAACCCAGGTACATGCCCTTGAATGGAATCAAACCCGAGACCCTTCAGTGCACAGACCAACACCAATCACTGAGCAACACCGGGCAGGGCACTCATTAAATCTCATTACTTTATCATTTTCAAGGAACTTTTAAAATAACTTTGAACAAATTTTTTGTTACCTTAGTTGAATTCTTTACTTTAGAATACTAATTATGCTAATTCTAGAGGGTCTGAAAGTATCCTCTCTTCCTTCATTTTATTGTGGTATTATTTCCTCTTTGAGTTTTTATTTCATTGAATGTTTGTTCTTTTTTTTAGCAGCTGTTCTGAGTTTTCCTATTTATTTTGTTGAACTATAGCTTTAGGTTTTTTAAGTGCTTTGTGAGAGGCAGGGAAGAAAATGAGTGAAATTAAAAATTTAAAAACATATTAATAAATCACTTGAAGGGAAAGGTATACAGAGAAGTTTCTAACTTTATACTAAAGCCTTTTGATTTATAAAATGCTGAGCTATTGCTGACACTGGAAAATCTTGAGAGGGTAAGAATATACAAAAGAAATGACAGATAAGATTATGTATGTGTTTGTGCTTAATGCCTTGAATTTAAGGCATCAGTTGTGCTGCTATCTTTACTTTGTCATCTTTGAGATATATTGTCCAGTGAATAAACAAGATTAGTAGTACATCTAAAACACATTTAGTACATCTAAAGAACAATTAAAATACAATTAAAGCACAATTAAAATACATGGAAATACCAAATAAGCAGACTATAGAAAAAGCAAGTGTGTGCTTATAAAAGCAAATGTTTTCTGGGCACCTTACATCTTTGTTTTAGTCAACAGTAATTTTTTTCTTTATTTGAAACAAAATTACGGTACTTAAAAATAGAGCTACTTTCATTGTCATCTGACAACATGAAGCCCTATGTATGGTTTTTAATAGATTTTAATGGATCTTTCTCCCTTACAGTGTTCACAGTAATGTTTCAACTCAAAATAATGGTTCTCAACAGGTAAGTCTTCTTAATATTAAACTTCTAAAGCACTAGAACAGTGTACTTAATTATTACAGAAACTAGTATTTTATTAATTGAATTTCATGAGTTTTTTCTTTTATTTATCTCTAAAGTGACTCAGTAATGTGAAACTCTCTTTTATTTTCTCTAAGATGTTGTGAATAGAACAGGTGCTCTGTAAAACTTTCTATTTCTGTAAATCCTATAAAATACTAATATTCAGTTAGATTACTATCTATCTTCAATGTGACATATAACAGTCAAGCATTTATTTACATTATATTTGTTGACTAAGTAGATATTATTCCATTGTAATGTTCTTTTAATTGGTGAAGGGATTTTTTTTATCTAGGCAAGATAAATGATTTTTATAACTTGTGTCCAAAGGCTTGGGGTATGAGATCTACTCTGCTGGGGACTTCTTCCATTCCCTCGGGTCCTGCGCTGGTGGAGATCGAAAACCTTCCAAGGAGTCCTGGAACAGACCAGCATGACAGGAAATGGTTTGTTAGCTCCTTAAGCCAAAAGAAAATGTTGCTTGCTTATTGGTATTATAAGTTCCCAGCTCTAACTGTAGAGTACTTTAAATGATTGAAAGCAAATTATTCATATTTGTAAGCTGAAGAGAGGCATATTATTAAGCAGTTATTGGGATGGGAAAAATAAGAGCTATGGATGAAGAAGCTCTGGAGTGCAGTTGTCTAATGAAAAACATCAGACAGCTCTTCTTACTTCGGTTAGCGTGATCTGGGAGTTTTGATTTCAGTGATAGTCAATAGAACCTTTTCCCAGATCCATGAGGAAAATATGTTTGTTACATGTTATTCCATACAACATGGTGCTACTCTTTGGATGTGTTTTCTTCATTTAAGACTGTAGAGAAAGGCATAAGAGAAACATGATTATAGTCCAATAAAACAAAGCATGAAATACTCCTGATGACAGGGAAGATACTTCATTTGTTTAGATTTCCAGGGTTTTGTTTTGTTTTTTAGGTTGATAGTAAGTATACAAATATGGATACTTTGTGGCTTATTGGGTTAACCTGTGGGGTTCATTTTTTTCCCAATTAAATGTATGTGGCTTGGGGGCGCTCCTTGGGAATTATGTGATTGACTGGTCGTGTTGGTTGCATCATCTGTTCAAATTTTGTGTCTATGAAATGAACTTTGATAATTCATAGGATTTTTCTCTCTCTCCCTCTCTCTCTCTCTTTTTTTCTTGCTCTTAGTTTTACCACCTGAAATCTAATGAGTTTCTGTGGTGATCTCAAGGTTTTGGTCAGCTTTCTGTGCAACCAGTTCTTCCTTCATGGTGGTGGGTCCACAGTGGTTGGTGATCATTTTCAGTCTTTCCTATGTAATTGTGTTTTGCTGTTATTTTGGCTTAACTAACTGCAAGGTGCTTTGCTCTTGATGGTTGGGCATATTTTTACTTCCGTTCCAAATAACTTGATTAGTTTCTGAAATTGAGGGCATCTACCTTATTATTTTTTCTTTCTACTTGAGAGTGTGGTGGGGAGGACTCTGTGTCATGTGGGCACACTTAAAGTATGAATAGTGAGGCTTCTAAATGTCAAATTTCAGTCTTTTTTTTTTTAAGCCATTAAGAGTTTTTTCAATTTCTTATTGAAAACACAGCTCCAATAAGCAGCTATGTTTTATCCCCTTGATGTTATCACCAAATCCTATTAGCAAGGGAATGTAATACTTCTGGGACTTCAACTATAAAAGAATTTTCTTTCTTTTTTTAAAATATATTTTATTGATTTTCTTACAGAGAGGAAGGGAGAGAAATAGAGAGCCAGAAACATCGACGAGAGAGAAACATCGATCAGCTGCCTCCTGCACACCCACCACTGGGGTTGTGCCCGCAACCAAGGTACATGCCCTTGACCGGAATCGAACCTGGGACCTTTCAGTCTGCAGGCTAACGCTCTATCCACTGAGCCAAACTGGTTAGGGCAAGAATTTTCTTAATACATCCTTACCTTTTATATTACTATGGAACAAGAGTCTGATTTCTTTGCATCCTGTATTGTAACGCTAAATCTTTACTGAGGTTTCCAATGTTTATGCACACATATTTAAGTCTATTTAATTAACTCCTTTGGGGTCAACCTTTATAAAGAGAGAATATTGAATCTGAGCATATTGACTCAGAAGAAAAATGAAAAATTTGGAGCTGTGTTTCCTTCCTTTATGTAATTTTGCTGTGGCCTCCCTTGCTGAAATGGAGTAAAGTGATGATCTTTAAAATCTAATCAGCCTCAGAGTATGTCAACAGTGGCACGGAATAATACAGAACCGACGTGTCTTGGCGTTAATGGATCCCCAGCCCTAATTTAAAATGCATTCCATATTTCATTCTTTGTTTCTGCATGCTTTGATTCTTAATACTTTTAAATGACTATAAAAGTCCTCCTTTAGAAAGTGATACATTAATAACATTTAGAAATGCTCCCTAGGTTTGAACAGTTGGGCAGAATAATGGACTCTTTTCTGTTTCTGGCAGACAACGTTTAACTAATTTTATGTGAACCTACTCTCTGTTCAGTTCTTTAGCTTTTTCTTCCCAGTGTCTTGTAAATGACACCATTATTGCAGTGAATGATTTGGTATAGCATTAACTTAGAATTATCCAATATGTATCATCCTTTGAGATACAATTCTTTTAAATCTTTAAACTATTTATTAAAAAATTGAATAATATTTGGAGAACATAAACCTAATTTAATTTCCTAAATTTTCAGAGACCCTGTATTGAGGGTCATGAATTTCATGGGTTATATCTAATGAACAAATTGTATTTCAGTTGAAGGAAAAGATGATTTTATTGTAAAAAACTTTTAGCCAGTTTTTTCAGTTTTCCTAAGGAAAAATGGTGAATATTTCTGTTTTGGTTGAGTTAGAAAAAATACTATATTTAAATATCTTTAAATATCTTTTATAATTGGGGTTATTTTTTTTAATTTATAGTCATCTTAAGTATATGCTGCCCTTTTTTGCCATGTCATAAAACCCTGATTTTCTGAACCTTGGTAAATGTTTTCTTTCTACTGGAGGACTCTGATAATTTCTAACCAGGAATTGCTTGTATGCATGTTTCACTCTCATAGTTCTATAGGCCTGTTCTATAGCACTGTGTGTAAAAGGCATCTAATACAGTTATTAAATCTATTTCTTGGAGGGGGCTTATAATCTCATCACATTATCTGTACCTGTTGAATTTCATTCTAAGCTCCCGTGAACTTTGATTATAGAAGGAATAATGGTTCTCTTGTTAACTGGGAACATAAATGTAAAATTACATGGCCTCTCAGCATAGATTTAAAAACAAAACAAAACACACCTCATTCTGAATTTTGTTTCCTGGATTTCACTTAATTTGTGAGATCACTTAATTTGAGGAATAATTTTCAAAATTGCCCTTTTTTATATGTGCCTTTATCTTTATGTAGAATTGCCCTCTGACATATTTTAACTAAGTTGATTATAAATACTATTTATCAGAACCTCACAGAGCATTTCTGCCTTGATTTTGATAGCAACATCAAGGACAGATACAGAGTGTCTTGCTCTCTATGACATTTTCTCTTTATTTAATTCACTTAACAGACTGATTACTTATACATATTTTCATATTTACATTTTCCACTACATGTAACTTTGTGGGATTTCCCCACCTTTGTTATTCTTGAATGTGCTTGCATGGAGTTGTTGATAACTGCTTGTAGCAGTGGTGCATGCTGGTCATTCTCTTTTATTACCTCTTACACATCAGTTTTCTCCTATTCCTATTGACTAACTGTGCTCCCCTCCCACTCCCCAACCATCCAGGCTCTCTGCTGCCAGTGACTGCTGCCAACGTGGTGGAAACCAGTGGAACACAAGGGCCTTATCCCCGCCCCAGCCCGTTCATAGAAACTACACTGACTTTGTCCATGAGCACAATGTGAAGAATGCAGGAGTCCTTCATGATGTTCGTTTTCCCGGCCATGTAGCCATGACTGATATATGAGTGTTAAGCCTCTTAGACCTTGGGACTCTGTTGTGCAAGTTGATGGTATTTGTTCTCTGGTGTTTATTGGGGATTGATCATATTAGGAGAATTTGGGAGAAGTTATTTTATATTGAGTTACTAGTCATGTGGTGGTGTTTGTAATGGAATTCTATGGAAGGGAAAAGGATCTGAAGAAGCTATATGCCATCAGTGATAATGACAAATGTTTTTGTGTTGAAAGGGCATGTATATCATTGTAATTTTAGAAAGGTTTTTCATGATTTTAACATATTAACATATCACTCATAAGATGTCCAGGAGAAGGTTTGTGTTTGTGAACAAGCTGCCCATTTTTAACCCATCCCTTGCCATCCAAATAGATTGAAGTTAAAAGAATTGGACACATTAAAGGCACACAGAAGGAAGCATGTCCTGGCATAATATATCAGTCTTTACTGGTATTTTTTCTAAAATGACCATGATGAATGCCTTAATTTCAGTTAAGTGCCCAAGGTTTTATACTTTCAATTAATGTTTTTATTTAAAACACTTATTTTTTTAATAAACACAGGTATTTTAATTTACTGAAAGGTCTAGAAATCACATTAATAATGTGAATCATGTAGGGAGATAAATCTGAATGGTTACTTTTACATCATTAGCTACTTAACCAATGGTTAACTGAATAGTTCTATTAATACTGAATGGTGGTACAAAATGGAAAATTTATTTACTTTTGTCTTTTCAATTTTCTCTTTTATCTCATGTATCTGAAAGATTTCCCAGTTTGCAATAGTCATATAATCTGGCCCTTACTACCTTTAAAATAAAAGTCTGTATCACTTTTAAATGGATTGGATATATTACTATTTTTGACCCTTTATGAACTTCAAAGTACAATTATTCAAGCTCTTCATTATAGTTCATAGAGGCAAATTAACAGAAAAAAGTACATTTCTGATGTAATGATAACTGATGTAAGGGAAGCAATTCTTTTATTTATTTATTTTTTTACAGTCTTTAAAAAATTTTAACAAAATTTTTCATCTTTTAAACTATGTATATAGTAATTTGAAGATACGTTATAATTTGGGAATTTATAATACTTCAAGATAATGAAACTTTATTTTAAACAGCCTAACCGGTTCACCATCCTGCTCGTCTCAGGGGTCAGTCTTACCCCTCTTTGTTAGAAAAAGGTAAAGGTTTCAGAGGGCTTTCTTTATTAGTGGACTGTTGGTTGCAAATATAACTTGTATAGAAGACATAAGTTAGCAGAACTAAATAATATTTAGGTAATGAAATTTATAGGCAAGTTTCAATCTGAGTTTATCACAATCATATATGTATATGCTATGGATGCTCAAAGTATTCTTTAGTGCAGTGATGGCGAACCTTTTGAGTTCGGTGTGTCAGCATTTTAAAAAACCCTAACTTAACTCTGGTGCCGTGTCACATATAGAAATTTTTTGATATTTGCAACCATAGTAAAACAAAGACT